CACCTTCGGTGCATTCAAGACCCTGCGCCCGGATGACGTGCCCATGCTCCAGAGCGTGAAAGTCCAAGGCATTCAACAGCGGTCTTTATGGGTGACCACCGATCTCGACGATGATCCCGATCCCGTGGAAAGCTACGGATTCCTGTCCTTCTTAAACACTCCCGACCTCCGCAGCGTGTCCATCCCTGGCGGCCGGGATATGCACACGCTTCCACTGTCCTGGGCACACCTTCGTAGTTTGGCGGTCGGCCAAACAACGGGGGCCATCTCGTGTGAAAGCGCCGTTGCTATCTTGCGGCAGTGTCATGCCCTAGAGAAGTTTGTGGTAACACTAGACCACAAACACTCTACCCCTTATGCCCAAGACCTCATCTCTCTACCTCATCTCCGCCATTTGTCTGTCTGCGCACACCGAAGTTATTCAGCCACGGCCTTTTTCAGTCTTCTCTTCCTCTCGAATTTGCGCTCTCTGGATTACGTACAGCACTCAATGATCGGCAATTCCTTTCCATTCTCGCCTTTATTGGCGTGGATGGGTACCCTCGAGCGCTTCAGCCTTCACCTCAGCATGGGGCTTCCGGACAGCGCCATGTTACCAGCCCTCCTCGCGACCCTGCCGACTCTACAACACTTCCAGCTCACTATCAATCCACAACCGCACCCGGTCGGTGGATTGATCGAGCAAGAATTCGTCGACCAGTTCACCCCAAATCCGAGCGGACCCGACTCCGTCTTGTGCCCCCTTCTCACGTCCCTCGAACTCTCGAGCCTCAATGAAGGCGTGTCGGACGAGTCGCTCCTTCGCCTAGTCCGTGCGAGGGCCGAAGCTGGGTCTCTCGGTGTCGCGCCGCTTTCGCGCTTCAGCTGTGCGGCAGCGCGCGAGATGGAGGTCGACATCCTCCCTCTTCTCCAGCAGGAGATTTCCACTGGCCTCGTCGTATCCCTCAAGTACACTCCTCGCTTCAAACATTCGTATTCCCCGAGAGAAGGGGCTGACTAACGGAGTCCGTCCTACCCGTACTAATACTACTAGTCAAGAACGTGGAACATCCATTCTCCATTTCCATGACATTTTGATATATTTTTTAGGTTTGTCTTCGTTTTCATCTGCCGTGTACAAGATAGATCTTTTACGAATGGTTGAATCTGATGTGATTTTTGCGACCAGGCTGTTCAATTACTTGACTCTGGGAGGATCTGCGCACAACGACGAGCTAATAGCCCCGAAGGCCTGGGCCGGGATCAGCTAAGAGTCGTCCACTCTCACCGATAGTGCAAACGAATGTGAGTGGTTGAAATTTGAAACCATAACTGTTGAAAAATCATAGGACACCTGGGTCCGGGGTTGTTCTTTCTCCGGTCCATATTTTATTTTTTCAACGAACTGCATATAACTGCGCGGAAACCCCTCACCTCTCGGTAACCGTCGACAGCTCAACCAGTCTGCATCCGAGTCACCCAGCACCAGTCACATTCTGCATATTGTCGCCTTCTACTACATACTACATGGCTACGTGAGTCCATCTTTTGGTATTTACCTCCTTAGTCTTATTTCTGACCCACAGCACAGCCGGACGCGTCGAGACCCCGGCCGAGGATGTCCAGATCATGGCGACTTTGCTTGGAGTGTCGCCAGGAACACTGGGCGAATCCGCTGTAGCTTTTCCGAAGGGAGGAGGAACGTGCAGTAACTGCAGCTGTGCTTTCACCTTCATCGACATTACGGAAACGGGTCTCAAAGCTCACAGCAAAGAGTTACTGGTTGACGTCATGACCGGCAAACATGGGTATATCGTGAACCCAGGCACCCAGCCATTTAAAGCACCCTTTCTCTGCCTCACCTCCGCCATTTTTCCATCTCGATTTCGCAGGATGAGCACGCCGCAGCATTTTTCCGTCTTCTAGTGCTCCCTGGACTACGCACAGCGTTCGGCGATGAATTCCTTCCCATTTTCGTCATTATTGGCGAAAACGAGCTCCCTCATACGCTTCAGTCTTTTCCTTGCGAAGGTTCCCGACAATACTGCGTTGGCGGCCTCGCAGCCATGCCGCTTCTCCAACGTTTCCAACTTACGATTAATCAGCTGCCCATCCGCGGCACCCTCCCGGAACTTCTTGGCCATCTCGCCCCGAGTCCCACTGGGCCCGACCCCGTCCTCTGCCCTCTTCTAACATCTATCAAGCTCGGCTTCAACCAGACGGTGTCAAATGCAGTGTCTGACGAGTCCCTCCTCCACCTCATGCGTGCGAGAGCTGGAGCCGGTTCTCGCGGTGTCGTGCCGCTTTCCCGCTTCAGGTGTTCGCTCGCGCGAGAGATGGAGGTCGATATCCTACCTCTTCTTGAGCAAGAAATTTCCACAAGCTTAGTCGTATCCCTCAAGTACACCCCTCGCTTAAAACATTCGTATTCCCGGAGAGAAGGGGCTGAGTGATGGAATCCCTCCTACCTGCTAGCGGTGGGTATTCATCTTTGTATTCTTTCAGTATGATTCATTTCGTCCGTGGTGTCCTAGTCTTCGTCTAGATTGTTACGAATGGTTGAAATCTGACGGGATTGTGGTTGTTTTAAAGCCCTCGTGCTGAATGGCGCACAGATCAGTCCGCTGGTATTTTTCTTGGAAAGTCTCCATTGGTGCATTATAAGCATAGGTACCGCTCCTTTGATGCCCTTTCTTAGTCTTTAGAGTCCGTGCCCAGTTCACGTGCACCCTTGGTTGGATTTGTCATTCTTCGTTTTCGATGAAGTCAGTGGGTACCTCCGCAGTCGTCTGTCTTGACGTATATAGTCAACTCAGCTTGTCCCTGCCCTCCAATATATTTTCAGGATCACGCCCTCCCACACTCACAATCATCAGCGGGCGCCTATCGCAAGGATGAGGCCGGACTATACCAAATTTTCTGCCGAAGGCCAGTCATTGCCGTCGAGATTTACATTCAGTCTGCTGCTATGCACTGACATGTGTTGCAGATATCTCGAAGATGGAGGAAATGTCGGGGGCTTCCGCCAAGGATATGCTCGTGCAATCCGGGCTGCTCCCGACCCCGCCCAAGAACACGGTGATGCTTGACAACGCGTGCGGCGGCGGCGTTGTGACCAAGCTCCTCTTCGATGCCACCAGCGATGTCCGCGTCGTCTGCGGAGACATAGAGGAACACATGGTGCGGAGCGTCGCTGCGAGGATCAAGGTCAACGGATGGAACGCGGAAGCAACCGTGGTAGATGCTCAGGTATGTCGGACGTGCTGTATTACACGTACACTGAGTCTTTACACAGGCTATCCCGTTCCCGGATAACTACTTCACGCACACCCTGATGAGCATGGGGATCCAACTCATCCCCGACAAGGCGTTGGCCATCAAAGGTATGCAAATCCCGCCACTCGCCCGCCCTTTCATTCATTTTCAACCTTTTATGCGATTTCTCATAGAGTCATTCCGCGTCCTTCAGTCGGGCGGGAAGCTCGGAATGACGGTCGGGACCGAGCCCGGCTGGCTCGAGTCGTTTAAACTCGGAGTTCCTGGATTCGTCGAGCCGCCCATGTTTACCGCCGGACCCTTGGGGTCCAAGGAATCTATCACCAGCCTCCTTTCCGCTGCAGGCTTCATCGCCATCGACGTGCAGCCTATGTCCTACGAGAACGCCCACAGCATGTCGGGGTACATGGGAAGCATGAAGAAGGCCTTTGCGCAGATCCTCGTGGGAGAGACCGCCGAGAAGTACGAGGCATATATGCGCGAGCGATATGGGGATGGGGACTTCACTTTGACCTCGAAGATGTTTGTGATCACCGCGGAGAAGCCGTAAGAACGATCTCGCTTTGCGAATGACGAGATCCTCAATCTCTGTATCTCACCTCATAATATCTAGCGTAGTTCAACCTACACACTCCCTGAACTTTTTAACAAACGGATAGATTCACCACTGACCCTGAATTCCTGCGTCTTAGTTACGACCATCATGTTGTGTCTAGATGCTGGCAGAGGTGCCTAGGATAAGATAATTGTATCATCATACTCTTCCCTCCTTATTCCATGCTCCCGCGAGGGTTCTCGCGTTCTCGCCTTGAACTAGAGTCCAAAGCGCTCGATTTCGTTTACAGAAAGCCGTAATTATAACGAAACGGAAGTATTAGTATATGCGGAGTTATTCCTCATAACCAAAATGCTTCCGTCGCAGCAAGCATGGTTACTAGAGAGTCCTAACTGACTCCGACGGTGTGGTTCCGCCCGAGATCGCCGAGCAACATCAGATGCCATTTACGGAACGAGGTGTCAAATTGAGAGGCTCGTAGTTGGAGGTTCGTTGGGCATGGTTGATTATAGCCTTGGAACACTCCTGTTGTCGTTGTAGCTGCAGGAAATGTTCAAGCATTAAGCACAAGCCGTAATACGTGGCTGGAACCATTTACGCCATTTGTTTTCTATTACCGTTGGAAAGGCGCACAAGCTAAACGCACCTCCATGCCGCTGGCATCCTGTTTCATACTTCTCTCTTTCGTCTGATTCTCGATGCCAGTGCTTCACGTGCGTCTTCAGCTTAGTTCAAGTTCAAGTTCAGGTCAGGTTGGAAATTACCAGTCGGCCTCGACCAGGCTACGCAGAAGGAAGGACTGAAAATTTGAAAGAAAGGAATGTATGAGGAGTCCAGACCTTAAACGGACGGAGCAAGATAGACGAAAAAGAAATCTTGTAGTAGAAATATGGCCTCGAACAAGGAATTCCTCCTGAAGCTATCAAAATGTTGACATGTTATATAAGGCAGGTGTGTTATCGATACATCATCAAGCCTTCGTTTATATCGGATCGGTGATTTTTGCGAATGACACTAAAATAAATAAATAAATAGCTGTCGAAATACATGCCTGGCCTTCAGTCGAACAAGGCATTCTTGTAAAAACAAGGACTGAAGGAAGCATGTAGGAGCAGGCTTTCTAATGAATGAATGTTTTAAATGGTGCCAAGAGGAAAGAAAGAAAGAAAAAAAGAAGTTTCCGAAGCCATGGCCTGACCTTGAGTCGAACAAGGAATCCCTACAAAACCGAGTGACTTGGATTGCATGTAAAGCAGGCGTGTTACCGGTACACCACCAGACCATCCCCTGCCTTATACACATCAATGGGTAACCTCTGTGAATGACACAAAAGAAACGACTTTCCGAAGCCATGGTCTAGCCTAGGAACTTCTGCTTACCGAAGTCCGCCAGGGAATGCGAGCACGAGGCTGGCTTACCACCAAGCCGATAATGATATACCTCTGGGTAGACCATTGTAAGAAGGATTTCAGCTTCAACGGCGTCATACGCAGCATGCTGTAAGTAGCGAAGTAAGTAGTATCTAAATGAGCAGAAAGAGAAAATATTTTAGCGGCTGGGAAATGAAAGGTGATGCTGCAGGTACGGGATAGCAGGTACTCACTGAGATTCTCATGTTATTAGCGAAGTATGTAGATCGAACTTGAACTTGTTGACATTCAAGGGCGTCAGCTTCAGATTCAAACAGAACCAAACTTGCCGTTGCCATCTTGGGCGATCCTGGTGCCACGCGGATCCGTGATGGCCTACACCTTGTTTCCTACCGTCTCCGCACGCTGTCCTCGCACCTTCTCCCCCGCGTTTTATAGCCCAGTTTTCACCTAATCGACTGAGCATCCATACCTCTACAATTCCCGTCGATTTCCGCCGAGTTTATAACGGCCGCAATAGCTCGCTGCACGATACCACCGCGATTAGAATCACAGCCGTATGGACGACTCCGGTGGCTGGCGCTTCGCGCAGGCGTTTGGTGACAAGGGAGATATCGAGGAGATAACTGAGGGTGTGTCCGCTGGCTACTACGTGGCACGCTTCGTCTGACTAGGATCACCCAGCGGATATCATCTCCGCCGTCGAGTTCGACTCAACAGGCAACTTTCTGGCGACGGGGGACAAGGGAGGGCGCGTGGTCCTCTTCGAGCGTAACTACACGAAGAAGACGTGCGAGTACAAGTTCTACACCGAGTTCCAGTCGCACGAGCCCGAGTTTGACTACCTACGATCCGTCGAGATCGAGGAGAAGATAAATAAGATCCGATGGTGCCGTCGCCAGAACTCTGCGCATTTTCTGCTTTCCACCAACGGTGCGCTGGGTTGTATACATTTGATTATTTGGGTGGGAAGCTAATCGCGGGCAGACAAAACGATCAAGCTGTGGAAGGTATTCGAGAAGGGCCTGCGCGTCGTCTCAGAGACGAACCACTACGATGGCCAGCGGCCCCTACCGCCGCCAACTTCGCGCAACCACCTGCGCCTCCCGCGGACGATGCAGCAGGACAGCATCATCGCCGCCGTGCCGCGCAAGGTCTACGCCAACGCGCACGCGTACCACATCCACTCCATCTCCGTCAACTCGGACCAGGAGACGTACATCTCGTCCGACGACCTCCGCATCAACCTGTGGAGCCTCAGCGTCCATGACCAGTGCTTCAGTGCGTGTCCGGCGTCGCACATCGAATATCATGCTGATACACGTCCCAGATATCGTGGACATTAAGCCGCAGAACATGGAGGAGCTGACGGAGGTGATCACCTCGGCGTCCTTCCATCCGCAGCAGTGCAACCTCTTCATGTACGCGTCCTCCAAGGCGAGCATCCGCCTCGGCGACATGCGCGACTCCGCGCTGTGCAGCCAGCATGCGAAGCGTGCGTCTTCTTACTTTACCTTCATTCCTAAATTAATGTCGACGCAGGATTTGAGGACCTCCAGGACCCTGCGACGACGTCCTTCTTCTCCGAGATCATCTCGAGCATCTCCGATGCGCAGTTTAGCCCCGACGGGACGCACATCCTTGCGCGCGGTGCGCCTTTCTTTTTACTTATTTATCTAACGCTCTCTTGAACTCGAGCGCACAGACTACCTGAGCCTGAAGGTCTGGGACGTGCGCAACGAAGCGCGGCCGGTGCGCACGATCGCGGTGCATGACCACCTACGCGGGAAGCTGTGCGATCTCTACGAGAACGACTGCATCTTCGATAAGTGGGAGGCAGTGTGGGGCGGCGATGGGCGGTGCGTCCCGTTCCTGTTCCTGCTGTTTCATCTCGCGATAAATGATTGACGCGCATTGGGACGACAGACAGGTCCTGACGGGCTCCTACCACAACTACTTCCGCGTGTACGACCTCGCGGGCGAGCGAGACGTCGTCCTACAGGCGGATAAGACCGTGCTCAAGGCGAAGAAGCCTGGGGCTGGGATGGGTGCGTTTGTTTCTCTTATCGCTTCCTTCCTGTCGAGGTGGAGTTTTCCATGATCAGGTGTGGTGGTGTGGGCTGCGGACACTCCGTAAACCGGGTTAATTGTCTCCCGTGCCGGCTTGGTGACCTGCTGAAGCTGACGCCTCGGTGGGGTCTCACAGCTCCCAAGCTCGGCTGTCGACCCGACAGCCAGCCCATTCTATAAATAAATAAACTCGTATACTGACGCAAAACTCTTAGGCAAAGGCGCAGGTCGTGGGCTGCGCGAGGCGATGCAGTCCGAGCCGCAGGACTTCAACAAGAAGATCCTGCACGCCAGTTGGCATCCGCAGGAGCCGACTGTTGCTGTACGTCCTTTATTTTATTCGATTTTTTGTGTTCTTTGGCTTCTCATTTCCCGTCGCCGCCCCTTACCTTTTTCTTCCGCTCCCTGTCCATGATTCCTGCTGCGACATGTCGTTTCGAATCTGTCTTCCATTTCCTCTCGTTGGTTTCCCGGCTCGAGCTGATGCGCCCCAGATCGCCGCGACGAACAGCCTGTTCGTCTACAGCGCCGCCTAGACGGCGCTTCCCGGCACAAACTAAACAACACTCACCCCCACACGCCGTTGACGGCTGCTTGATGTATATTGGACGATATGTCGGTACTTGTAATCCAGGGAGAATGTGGGCGCGGATGCGGGCAGAAGAAAGGGAGCAGGGAAGAAGTTGGTAGAATTAAATGAAATGTACATATACAATGAACGAGCGAAGATTTGGATGGGATTCAGTGCCGAGCGATTAGAGGGCCGGGAAAAAATATTGCACTTGGTAATAAATCAGAAAGCGCGCAGGTTGAACTACGTCGGATAAGGTGATTGAGGTACTTCTACGGCGAAATCAAGGCTTCTCAGCGGTGATCACCAAGGCTTTCCAAGTCAACTCGAAGTCCCCATCTCCGTACCGCTCGCGCATATAGGCCTCGTATTTCTCGGCGGTTTCCCCCACGAGGAGGTGCGCAAAATGCCGCTTCATGTAGGCCAGGTATACCGGGATATTATCGGTATACTGGAAGGTGACGGGCTGCACGTCGATGTTAATGAAGCCTGTGGCGGCCAGGAGGCTGATGATGGATTCTTCGGACGCCATGGACCCTGTGGTGAAGATAGGCGGTGTGACGAATCCTGCGACGGCAATTTTGAAGGATTCGAGCCAGCCTGGCGCATTCCAGGACGTCATTCCGAGTTTCCCGCCCGGCTGGAGGACGCGGAATGATTCTGTTGAAAATTACACAGAAGTTGTGAGACAGGGGAACTGAATGGATGGGCGAATGTTAGAACCTTTGACGGCCAACGCGTTATCAGGGATGAGTTGGATTCCGAAGTTCATCAGGTTGTGCGTGAAGTGGTTATCCGGGAACGGAATAGCCTGCGTGAAGAGTCAGTGCACGTGCGATGCTGTCGTTCAGCATACCTGAGCATCTACCACGGTCGCCTCACCATTCCATCCGTTGACCTTAATCCTCACAGCCGCACTCTGCACCATGTTTACATCTATGTCTCCGCAGACGACGCGCATGTCGCTGGTCTTGCCAATGGCATCGAACAGGAGCGAGGTCACCACGGCTCCGCCGCACGCGTTGTCGAGCATCACCGCGTTCTTGGGCGGGGTGGGAAGCAGGCCGGATTGCACGAGCATAGCCTTGGCGGGGATCCCCGTAATTTCTTCCATCTTGGCGGTATCTGGAAGGATGCAACATAAATTAGCATACAGCTGGAGGTCAGTATGGACGTCGATGACTGGCCTTCCGCAGAAAATTTGGCGAAGTCTGGTTTCATCTTGTAATAGGCGCTGACTGATGACTGTAAGAGGGAGGCGGTCCTGAAGATATTGAAGGGAAGAGGCTGAGCTGAATATATACCTCGAGAGGATGACTGTGGAGGTACCCACCAACTTCAACACGGCACGGTCCGCTGCGGAAGATGACACATCATCAACCCCTACCGCACGTGGACAGCATGAATAATCGACACTGCCGCAGTGTGACAAGTGGAGAGGTAGAGGGGAGTCAAGTATCAAGATGAACATGAGCGGATTAATCCATATATGTTTCAGTATGAAGGAGAAAGCGAAAACATATGCCATCAGATTTCAACTATTCGTGAACGTAAAGACTACAGCAAGCCTAAGGACAATATAAATCAGACCAAAAAATACATAGATGGAGTCCCACCACAAGCAGTACTACTGGGGCGGGGCTTGATTCCATCGCTCAGTTCCTTCAGATGGAGAATACGAATATTTGAAGGGGGGCTTGTACTCGAGGGATACGACGAGGCCCATAGAAATCTCCTTCTCGAGAAGGGGCAGGATATCCACTTGCATGTCGCGCGCCAGGACACAGCTGAACTGCGAAAGAGGAACAACACCGTGCGGCCCGGCTTCAGCCCTGGCCCGCACGAGGCGGAGCAACGCCTCATCGGACACCCTTGGGCTGGGATGGAAGCTCAAGACTTCGAGAGAGGTTAAAAGAGGGCAGACGACGGGCTCGAGCCCATCGGCACTGGGGGTGAGTTTCGCTATAAATTCGAGTGGCGACCCTGTCGATAATCTTGGCCGGGGCCGGGGTTGTGGATAAATAGCGAGTCGGAAATGTTGCAGAAGTGGCATGGCAAACAAACAGTCGGCCAACCTAGGGTCATCGGAAATTCCTGTAAGGTTAAGGGTAAGACGTTCGAGGGAGCTCGTCCCCTCCAATAATGGTAAGAACGGGCAAGAATCGCCGACTAACGACAGCTGTGAGCACTCCAGGGAGCGCAGGCTAGGCAAGATGAGAAGGCGGAAAAACGCTGCGGGCGGACGACGGACTCGTAACGAGGTTGAGAGGG